CTGAAGAAAGAAGGATGGATACAAAGACAAGGTGGAAAGTGTAAGTAAAACATGTTTAGTCAAGCACAATGATGATGAAGTGACGATGATGGCAATAGAGCCATCATGGTTATGAAGACCATGATCATATATTGGAAGTATTAATAGCAATAATGACTTTAAATACAGATTTGATTCCCTTGACGGATAAGAGCCTGTCCGCTGAACTCTCATCTGTCCAAAGGATATCTCACACACACACACACACACACACACACACACACACACACACACACACACACACACACACACACACACACACACACACACACACACACACACACACACACACACACACACACACACACACACACACACACACACACACACACACACACACAGATGGGATTATCATGTAAAAAATGACAAAAACATGTTTACCAGCACAACAAGCAAACTATCCATGCCAGAAACATCATCTGGCTGATACATGGGCAGGTGTTGAGGTGCTGACCCCCTCTACCAAACACACCCACACACATACATACACAAAAACGCATATACAGAAAATCACATGTATGAAGCCACAATGTCAACGCTCTCCCAAACACACACTACCTGTCACCAGCAAAGGGAGACACGAAGGATGAGATAAAATGACATCTGATCAGATAAGATTACACATTGAGAATGACCGTTCTTAGACGGCTGCAACAAATAACAACATCTGCTGAGCAGCTGGTGTCAGAGAATTACCCAACTGGCTGGCACAGACTGGCACTAAGGTGGCACCACAGCTTTATCAGATGAGCCGCTGCAGGATTACATGAGTGTCAAACATTTCCACACCACAGAGGATAACACTCCCTGGAAGCAGCATGGATACACACATGGATTAAAGTACACACGTGTGCTGATTCACACATGGTTGGTTATGAGTACGACGAGTACATACGCAGGGATGAAACTGCGCGCACACATGCAGAGTACGAGGCTGCAGTAATGCCGAGACACGCGGCTCTGATGAAAGAAACTGACAATCTCAACACTTTGCGAAGCCGGGAGCTATGTAAACATTTCACTTTCTCATTTCAAACAACAGAAATAAACACCACAGAAGGACGCAAATGCTCCCTACCTCGCAACCCTTTTTAATTAACCAGCCAGACGTTCCTTGACATTCACACACATTTTACACACCTTGTGAAGACATGCTAATAGACAAAGATGTTCATGAACGCATACTCACACACAACAGCTCTGATCACCTTTTTTTAAAGGCTAATTCGCTGGGAGAGCAGCATAAGCCGTGTGTGTGTATGCGTGTGTGTGTTCTATTTGTGACATCCATTTAAAGCGGAAATGACAGCAGGCCGTGCTCGTTAACACGTCGCAGAAAAACACCTGCTCCGTCAAAGGGACCATGCGACTGCAGGGCCTGTTGGTACCTCTGGGTGCTGGTAGTGGTGGAGGTGTGTGTGTGTGTGTGTGTGTGTGTGTGTGTGTGTGTGTGTGTGTGTGTGTGTGTGTGTGTGTGTGTGTGTGTGTGTGTGTGTGGGTCTGGGGGTATTTGAACCACCACAGAGGGACAGAAAGAGACACATAGATAGATAAGAAACTGCTGTTGGGTGCCAATGCATCACCAGGATTAGCAATCACACCTCTCCCTCTCTTCTGCTCTCTCAGTGTCTTATTTCTCTCTTTCTCACAAATCCCCCCCACTCTCCTCTCCTCTCCCACTGCCTTATCCTATTCTATGAGAAACAAAGCATCTTCTTTGGATCACTACTGCTGATAAACAGTGCTGTGAGAGGGGCTGGTGGGAAAAGGGATGGAGGGAAAGCCAGCAAAAGGAAATGAATGGAAAGGAAAGTAAGTTGTAATTGAGCGGAAATAGAACAGCTTATCAATTCTGACAAAACCAATACTGTACGTAAAGCTCAGGGTGGCATGTAATCTATTCAGGATGTTAGTGTGTGTTGTGGTTAATGCTTCCTTGTAGAACAAATGGAAGCCTAATGAGCTTAAAATCAACCATAGAAAATACATGTATTTCATGTATTATAAACGCTATATGACAATGTAATCCAAAAAATACATAGGATTATAATGTGAAGGTTTTGTAGAGGCTGTGTCAGAAAGGTCATGATTCGACTTTGTGGAACTATTCAAGGGGATTGTTTGTGGTGTCGGTGAAATTGATTTTTATTATGTACAGGTGTTTCTGTTATTGTGTTCACTACTCAAAAACAATGATGGGAAAAACGGATCAACGGGTAAAGACAACACTTTGGTTGACCTCAAGGTGGATGAAGGAGAAAGAGATGTATTGACTGACAAAGTGGATGAGGATAAAGATAAAGTTAAACTAATACAACTATTATAAACTGGCAGTGAAGACTGTCCTGATGGTCCAAGTCCAGTCATTTCTCTGAGTCAGTTTCCTGATGAAGTGTCCAACCAATGGAAGCCTGTGGCTGGCCACTTCATCGCTCAGCTGTCCAGTACAACTGAAAACATTTAAGCAATCCTTCTGGCCGGGCTTGGACAGCGTGTGTGTATATGTGTGTGTATGTGTGTTTGTGAGAGTGTGTACACGTCCACTGGGGTGCGGGGGAGGGGGCAGCCAGGGGTGGCACAGACGGAGATAGGAGATGGACAGTTGTCCATACATGGCGTTCCAAACAAACACAGGCACGCACAAACACATTCAACACAATTCTGTTTTGCCCGTTCCAATCCTCCGAATGATCCAATGGTGTTCTGTCAAGCTATCCCGTCTTGGCCCTGCCTGTAATGAGTCCAGCGAGCTCTCCCACTCTGGACAGCTTGTCTGGGGAGCCACATGTCTCTAGTTTGGACTGCTGGAGAAAACAGAACAGCCGGTCTCCTTCCCACACCATCTCTCTCGGACTCCTCACTTCAGTTTCATTTAGTTTTTCTGCACAACTTTACTTTTCCCTTAAGGCCAATTAGTAGATACAACACTATACAGTGCTTAAGACAACAGGACTCTTTTGTTTCTTGTTAGAACGTCAGGATATCAGTAATACGGGACGACGTGGGTGATCTGATAGATCTGAGGAACAGAGGATATTTAGGCGGACAAGATAAACCATTTTGAAGTGTATTTAAAATCTGGGCTAAATTTGTTCAAAACGCATATTGTCTGCTGCAGCTTTAAAGAGCTGTCTTCTGTCTTAACTGGAGGTACAGTATATTAAAACTTTTCTAAACTCCTGTTCCTTTCTCTTTCAATGTCAGGAAAGTATTAAATATCGTGAGCATTAGAAATAGTACTTTAAGATTTAAAAATAAGTTTCAAACAACCACAGTACTTTGGCTCGGTTAAGTGTCTGACTAAAGAAGGGATTGTTGAAAACAGAAACAGAAGTAGAGGTGGCAAGCTTTCATGTTGTCGCTTTCTGTGGTACCGGCTACAAACTAAGGATTAAAAACTAAAGTAGACTGTTAAAAAGTAATTTTGGAAATTCAGGGAGAAATAAATCTTGTTGGCTCATCCTCCATTTGCAGCTTGTGGATTTAGCAGTACGAGACAGAGATGAATCAGCTGTGAATGTGCCTGTTCCAAGCTTTCTGATTGGACAATTACAACAACGCACTGACTAACTGTCACTCAATTAGCGGACTGATTAACCATTCATTTCAGGACAGAGGGGGAAAGGGGAGAGAATGAGAGATGGAAATGCAGAGAGGGGAAAAGGAGACAGGTACAAATGGTAAGGCTGAACTTCAGCCAGCAAAACAGAAATGAGACGCACAAACTTTCCCGCCTCTCCGTCTCACACTCAGCCCTTCAGGACCCCGGCACATCTCTGCTCTGCCGGATGCTTCAGAACGAGATGAGCCGGAAAAACCTTGATAGCAATTAAATAAATAACTCCATAACTATGTGAGCTCACCAGCCATTTGCTAATCAACCCAAACAGGGATTTAATTTAATGCTTTGGCCGAGGCTGGAGCTGATATGCAGATGGCGCAGAGACGGGGCTGTGTGACTGGCGCACTGGGAGCTGGAGTGGTGGTGTATGGAGGTAGGGGGGGGCGGATGGAGGGGAGGTTCTGCCACGTTCCAGCACATACACAGCAGCTCACCAGCAGGGAGAGGAATGTGTCGTCTGGCCACATAACAGCACACACACACACACTCTCTCTCACACACACATTGAGTGCTCAGAGAAGTAACACAGAGCTGTATAAGCACAGAATAAATAACAAGTTTACTAACCAAGTGACTGAGTAGCTGGCTGGTTGATCGCCAAAACTGATAAACTGACTGAACAAATAAAAAAGATATAAGACTATAGCTCACCTAATAGTTTAATTTTGAACCTGACGGCAGATTGTTTTGGACAGGAACAAATACATCACGCTTCAGAGACGAAAAAAATCAACTAACTGAAGAGTCGTTTGAAAGATATTAAATATAAATACGTTTTGATGATGCCTGATTTAGAAAGCAAAAGTTTCAAAAATTCTCCGATTTGTTTCTCTTTTATATTCTTGTGTATTCAATATATTGTATATTTTGGGATTTTTAAATATCGATCAGACAAAACAATTATGGAGAAGTCATCTTGAGCTCGGGGAGTTAAAACAGAAATGTTTCACTCTTCTCTGACATTGTATAAATAAGACAATTGACAAACCTAGATAAACGTTTGTAGTGTCAGGCCACTCATGTTTCAACATCATTTAAGTGCAAAAGTATCTCAGCTTTGTCATATGCTCTTTACAAACCAATTGAAGTAAGAGTAATCTTTAAAGAAAAGCTAAATCACTGTAATGCAGTTTAGCAGTATGGAGGTTAGGCCATCCTACAACAGCAGTATGGAGGTCAAACTGCTGGGTCAGATCTGAAATGACGGATCTCCTTATAGACAAAGGTCAAAACACTTCCCAGACACAACAATGTGAGGAGGGGGTTCATGTGTTTGTGTATGTGAGCATTAGCTGCTGATACTTGAGTAAAGCAGTAATACACTGAGAGAAGAAAGAGG